TAATTTTAATCAAAATACACTTAAATTTATAATTAACCTGCTTATAGAAATAATATAGTAACTCTAGAAGGTAAATTTTTAAGTCTTCTAAAAAATTTAAATAGAAAAATATTTCTACAGTTACTGCAGATAAATTAGCTGTATTTACTCCCTAAATGACGTCGTTTTGAGATTGAAATATTAAAAAATTATAATTATAAAGACTATAATAACCCAGAAATAAATTAAAATTATAAAAACAGCATGATTTCCGCCCCAAAACGACATTGCATTGGACTTATTGCAGATAACCTATCTTCAATAACCGCAGAAAAAGCGAACCCAAATTTAAATTATAAACATCGTCATATGAAACAATGTGTTGGACTCACCAGTCATCACGATAACCAAACAAACTCCCGCTATCAAACTAGAGTATTGGAATTAGAAGTAGGGCTATGCATGGGTCAGGTCGGGTTAGGTTTTTGTCCGACTCGACCCAACTTGGTTTTTATAGGTCAGGTATTTTGACCCAACCCGCTTTAATTTGATCCAAGACAGGTCTGACTTGGTTTGGATTTTGTTGAACTAGTTCAGAACCGAGTCGGATCTGACCTGACTTGGTTTTTGAAGTGGGTGTGACTTGATTTCTGAAGTGGGTCAAATCTGACCTGACTCGTTTTTGACTTGGTTTCCTAACAAAATTTTGTCAAAATTTCTACGTTGCAAACGACGAAAATTTCATCACAAAATTATTTTTTCGTCGGAATACTTTTTGCCGAAAAGCGACGAAATTTTTTCTCCAATGAAAATTTTTACAAAAATAAATTTTCTATCGAAATTTAGTTTCCGTCAAAAGTTTTGACGAAAATGATTTCTCCCATCAAATGTTTTAAACGAAAGAAAAAATACTGTCAAAAATTTTGACAGAATGTTTTTCGTTCAAAATTTTGATGGAAATGTGTTCTGACGAAAATTGTTTCGAGGGAAATGTTTCCTCCGAAACTTTCGACGAAATCTAGATTCTCTAAAGAATTTTGACAGAATATTTTATTCGTCAAATTTTTTTATCGAATTATTTTTTGTCAAAATTTTTTACGAATTTTTTATACATAAATGTGTTCCGTTGAAAATTTTGATGGAAATATTTTTATCAAAAAACTTGACGAAAATATTTAGTTTAAAATTTTCGATGGAAATGTGTTTCGCTAAAAATTTCGACGAAATTTTATTTTGTCAAAAAGTTTAATGAAAATATTTTCGTCGAAAACTTTCGCTTAAATTTGAAATCTATAAAGAATTTTGATGAAATTTTTTTCCATCAAAAAATTTCGGTGGAAATGTGTTTCGTCGAAATTTTTGATGAATATATTTTTTTTGTGAAATATTTTGACGAAATTTGGATTCCGTAAAAAAATTTGACAAAAAAAATATTTCGTCAAATTTTTTTACAGAAATATTTTTGGTCACAAATTTTGATGAAAATATTTTTCGTCAATAATTTTTGCGTAATTTTTGTATCGAAATATTTTTCGTAAAAAATTTTGACGTAATTGTTTTACGTTAAAACTTTTCTTTTAATGGAATTGTGATTTTCTTTTTCTTTTTTTTTCACATAATGGATATGGATCAAGTTTTGGGTCAATAGGTCAATTTTAAAACAACTCAGGTCTAAAACTGACCCAAATAAAAGTGGGTCAGTATTTAAACCAGTTCAAAAAATATAGGTATTTATGGGTCAGGTGAAGGTCGTATCAAGGGTAAGACAAGTGAACCAGTTTTTTTGCACACCCCTAATTAGAAGTTAACTCCATAACTACACTTCCAAAAATTATAATTAAGATCGGGATGTGCTAACATATAAAATAAATATTTAATTATTTATCAAAAAAATAAAAAAAATATTTAATTCAAATAATAAATATGAGAAATCGTCAAATCCCAAATAAATTTAGGATTATATACTTCTTCTGTCACTGCAGATGGGAAAAAGTGTAGCAACACTTATTTTTATCAGGATACGCGTCTGAATCCTGATGTGTTTTTTTTAGGCTAGGATACGACCCCGTATCCTAGTGTTAATAATTTGCTGCAACTTTTCTCATCAGCAGCGAAAGTAGAAACGACGAACCCATAAATTTATATATATAACATAAATCAATATTTTATCAAAATAATATTCTAATGAAGTCAAACAGCAAATCTCAAAAGCAAAATTTCAATATAAATCATTTTATATAATTCAAAAATTCATACTTTATTAAAATAATATATATTTTCAAGAGGATTTACACCCAGACAAAACTACAACATATTAATCTCTAGTTTCCTATCTATAAATATAATGTGATTACACGGCTAGACTTGCCGTTTAAAAATATCATCATAACAATTATATCAAGCTCCTAATAACTTGCAATAAATCTTTGATAGGTTTCCCGCCCTATAAATAAATCATGATATACCAAGGCTAACATTTATTGTTGCTAGCGTACAGTTTTCTGCAAAAGTCATTCCCCAAAAATGTTTCCAAAAAGCATAAAACATGATATATGAATGTCTCAAGGCAAAACCAATCATAGACGTTTAACAGTTTCATAAATCAATTTATCAATATTGCAATGCTTAAAAAATGTCCAATCACAAAATTATAAACATTTCACAAAATCCATAACATCATTCATAAAATTTCTTAATACCATCATAATCAAGCCAAATATTATAAAACAATTTAAATCAAATGAAAATATACATAAATTCTCAAAATATTTTTTTAAATCATGCAAATAATAATATAAAACCTTTCAAATATTTAATTCTGAAAAATGTAAGGAGATAATGAAGTCATAAGATATTTCGAAAAAAATTACCAAATAGCATCAAAATCAAAATCGATTAAATAAAGCACACCACCGAACTCCATTTTATGTTAATTAGTCTCTTAAAAATATTTAATTAAATAAATTTTCCACATTTGTTTACAAAGCAAATGCATAACAAAATAATAAATGAATTTAAAATAATAATCATACATGATTTGAACTTATATAGTCCCCAGCATTTACTCACAGACATCTTGAGGCGGAGATATAAGAGTTAACGATGTGGTCAATGAAGGAACCATTGCATATACCTATCCACAGAGAGACTCTGATGTCGCTACTTGTATTTTTTTTATTTTTTTTCAATTATCTTTCTATCTTCTTCTATATGATCCTGGAGGTTTCCGAATTCTAGAATTCTTGAAGTGAGTGTTTGAGAAGAAATGTTGCTTCTTTAACTTCAAATAGGAATTGGGTGAATGAAACTGATGATGGGTTAGAGTAAAGGTTTGATATTGGCAGCTATTTGGAAAGCAAGAGATAAGGGAACTGAAGTTGTGAGTAAAAGGAGGTGATTTTTATTTTATTTTATTTCACTTTATTTTAGGAATTCAATCATAAAATGATATTGCATTATAAAATGCAAGAGACTCATCTTCGCATGGATAGATAATTGATAAGGTATCATACACCAATCATCTGGCTTCTTTTATTTTTAAAATTAATTAAAAAAAATCCAGGATTATATTATTGTTGATCTACAACTTGCTGATAATTAAACGTCCATGGGCCAAGCTTCACACTTTCTTTTTTTTAGATTTATTGAAGGAGAAGATTATATTTACAAACTTTTACTACAAAAAAACTAGTATTTAGAGGCGGTTATATTTGCATTTAGAGGCGGTTCAAACCGCCTCGTTTATCATCGTCACGAGGCAAAACACGGCAGTTTTTAGAAACCGCTGGAATAACCGCCTCTACATGACAATCTGAGGCAGTTATTCTAACCGCCTTCAAAATATATTCTGAGGCGGTTATTTTAACCGCCTCCAAAAGACAATCTGACGCGGTTATATTAATTGCCTCCAAATAACGCGTAACCGCCTCCAAATAGTTAAAATTATATAAATTTTAAAATTTTAATATTAATATTGTTACTTTTAAAATTTAATATAATTTTTATTTTTAATATATTTTTTATAGTGATTAGTTAATATAATTGTTAATATAATTGTTATTAGTTGAATATAAATAACTTATTGAATTTTGTGTGTGTGTTAGTGTGGGTTGTTATATAGAAGAGAATAGAGAAAGAGGAACAAGTGACATCCAATGTGGGACTTCAAAGTGAAGATGAGATGGTTTTTTTCAAGGTGCAACAGTCATCTTTAGAAATTTATATATAACACCAGATAATTCAACTTAAAAATCTGAACGGTTAGATTAAAGTATTACAAGAGAAGAACACATCAACCAAATTTGAGGACAATCCAACAGCTGAACAAAGAGATTTTTCTCTTTGAATCACACTGTACGATAGATCATGAACCGCCTCTAAATATGCTTTGGAGGCGGTTATTTTAACCACATTTAATGTATATTTTGAGGTGGTTGACGTGAAACAGCCTCCAAATGTATATTAGAGGTGGTTAAAATAACCGCCTCAATTTACCATTCAGAGGTGATTTTAATATAACCGCCTCTAATTGCTACATTTATAGGCGATTATATCTCAACCGCCTCTAAATGGTTAATGGGGGCGATTATTTTCACAGCGTCTAATATACATTTGTAGGTGGTTATGGTTTAACCGCCTCTAAAGGTAGTAATTAGAGGCGGTTTTAATGTAACTATCTCTGAATGTTAAATGGATGCGGTTATTTTAGCCGCCTCTAATTTACATTTGGAGGCGGTTTCACGTCAACCGCCTCGAATCAATTAAACCGCCGGAGTTATCGCCTCTATATATCAATTGGAGGCAGTTTTAGTGAAACAACCTCCAAATACCAATTTTCTTGTAGTGTTTTTATTTACAGATTCTTACAAATTACATTATGTCTGACCGATAAGACACTCTTGAATGAAATCTGACCTGTCAGACGTAGTGTAAATTGTAAGTTTATAAATAAAAAAGTTTATCAATATAACGCTTCTCTTTGTTGAAATAATGTTTTTGGGGTTTACAAAATAAAAGGCACATCATGCTATGGATGATGGTATGGAAGTTGGTAAATTCCTACAAACTCTAGCTTCCGTATAGACAAGGCCTTGGCTGCAATGATACCCCATTAGTGGGCTACAATGCCTATCTTCGGTACATATGCATAGTCCCTCCAGAGCACACCCATCAGTTTTCTCTAATTCCTTCCCATACAGTATCTCTTCAGACCATTTACTAGAAAACACATTTTTTGGATCCATTTGTTGTTTGGCTGCAATAAACATGTTAAACTTAGGATACTTATGTTGCACTCCTAAGAATGCTACATTCCTGTTCTTAGCCCAATGTGGCTTAGCCCCATATTTGAAGAATGCTAATTGCTCCACTTCCTCCCACACATCTTGGTTTAGTCTAGGAGTTGAAGGGTCATTTGCACGATAATAGTTAAAATCAACCACTACAGAATCTTCAGATTGTCCTAGATATGCATCTGATCCTTTGATGAAGCGTATTAATATCCCATTATAGTTATCCACCCCACAAAAATTTTCTGGTTTTATAAGGTCTCTCAATTTTCTCACATCACGGATGAAGTCTCCAAATTTGGAAGCAGGGAAGATTGCTGTACTCTCATAGAAGAATAGACCTTTGATTCTTGGATCCCAAGCGCATGAGGTATCAATTCTTGTTGAATATAAGCATGAACCTGAGGCTTGCATTTTGCCTTGATAACCCACTACAGGATAGCCAGTGAAGATTAGACCATTATTCTTTAACCCATTGGCTACTAATTTCTTGAATCCTAAAATAGTAGCTGCCGTTAAGCATTTCCCATCTATGTATCTTGTTTTTTCTAGCGATTTCTCTGCATGTCAACGTTTATATAACATTCATTAAAACTTTGAATTACGCTTTGTTATTGTATGCTCAAAGAAGAAAAATATATATGGCACTACATATATATATATATGTATATATAAGAGATCATTTACCTGCTGCTCTAACTGATTCGGAGACCAAAATGGAATTGGCTTGAAATCCAATGAAGTCATAGACTCCATCACCTGAGGCATTTAAGGGAACCCTGGAATCATATCTATAAACAGCTGTGTGTCTTGATGGATACCAAGTTATGTCTGCAAATTCATACTGCTTTGCATGGTCTATGTACTCATCTTCAATATGAGCATCATCCGTGAAATTGTAGGTTATGCTTCTTTTGAACCTATGTTCAAGTGATAACTTTACCTGTACGTTAACGTTGATAATTCATCAAACTTAATTAAAAAAATAATAAATAAAAAAACCACTTCCAATATGTACTTGGTAGTAGGGGTGTCAATATAGATTGACACGACACGAATTCGACACGACACGAATACATCAACACGAACACGACACGAATTTTCATTCGTGTCAAAATCTTCAACACTGACACGACACGAATTTTTTGCGGGTTGACACGACACGACACGAATAACACGCAAAATAGGGGACAAAACGGTAATTGACAAAAAAATTTAAAAAAAAAGATCGAAAATAAATAAAAAATTAAAAAATAATAATAAAATAATAAAAAAATAATAATTAAAAATAATACGGGTCGACACGAACACGAATTCATAAACACGAACACGACACGAATTTTTTGCGTGTCATTTTTTCCAACACGAACACGACACGAATTTTTTTACGGGTCAACTCGAACACGAATTTTCGTGTCGTGTCGCGGGTTGACCCGCGTGTCAAAACCCATATTGACACACCTACTTGGTAGTATGTATATATGACATCCATTTCATGTAGAGCAATGGAAAAAGTAAACGCAGTAGATATATCATTTGTGAATATATATTATTTAGCGGAATATTTTATTTGCCCGATAATACAAAATTTAATAATTCATAAACTGTTGCAATCTAAAAATAAAATTCATAAACCGTATTAACTTTGACACTTCTTTATTTGATTTATAAGTTCCGCGTGGAAAGGTGGGGAACATGTTTCCTTTTTTGGTCAAAAAGATTAGTTGTTTTTGAGACTCATCATATCAACCACACCACACCACATATGATTCCGCTTATGAAAATATTCATGATTGCCTTTGAAATGACTCGTCTTTCAAAGCAATCTAATGAATTTGCATCATCTCTCATATGTGAAAAGTTGATTATGTATCACTTATTTTTATTCATTAATGATTAGATAAGAGAGAAAAAAATATATAATTTTTAAATGAGTAATTATAATTAAATAATATAGGGATAAATTATTTTACTTATTATTTTTTTTGTCTATCTTTGTTTATTGTCTTTCAATATCGTTAAATCGGAATCTCAATAGGAGACAGAAATGAAAAATATAGTTGAGATTCTGATCTAATAGTATTAAAGAACGGTAGGCAAAGGTAGACAAAAAAAATGATAGATAGAATAATTTATCCCAATAATATACCTACGTGGTTACTTTTTTAGATGAGAGAAACCAAATCCAAATTAAATACTGTGTTTTCACTTTTCAGTTAGGAATTAATGTGGAATAGGATCAGGAACAAAATTCTAGGCAGAGCATTAAAAAAATGAAATTATTAGATACTTACAAAGTAGAGAAAATATTTTCTGCGTACAGAAATTTTTTATCTACGAGAAAAAAAGGAAAGAAAGAAACTCATGAAGAGAGAGAACATGCTAATTACTGGACCTCATCCCTTTTGTTTTTTTTCTCTGTAGCACATAAATTTTTTTTATCACGGATACAGAGAACATTTCCCAACAAAGTATTAAACAATGAAATTATATACTAAAAAGATACTGACCTTGGAGATGGCACCTAACATTCCAAGTGATACTTTGGCTGCGTTAAATAGAGGATCATGTGCTTCCAATCTTAAAATCTTTGCATACCCTTCAGATCTTGAAGCAGGGACAACAATACTAATACCCAGAACATGATCATGAACAGAACCACCTTTCCCCCACCAAGAGCTACCATGTGCTCCAGTACTAATAAGCCCTCCAATACTAACACCCTCCCAATAAGGTGCAGCCACCAAGCTGAACCCACCTTTTTCAACTTCATCAATCAATTGACGAAGCCCAACACCAGCATCAACAGTCACAACAAAATTTGCTGCATCAATTTGGATTCCAGAATCATCCTTTTCTGTGCTGATGAGCAAAGAATTCTCTTGAGGGCAAGCCAGCTTGGGAATGGTGTGTGAGTATTTGGTGACAACCTTGACTTTGAGGTTGTTCTGAACAGCATAGGAAACAGCTAAACGAAGCTGTTCTTCAGTTGTTGGGTATGTAACGTTGAGAGCATAACAGTCCTTGCGGTCACCCCATGTGCCGTATGAGTTGTGGAGGGTGCAGATAGATTGGTTGCACTTAATTGGTGACTGTGGAATCATGGCATGGATGGAACCCAGTAATGGAAGTATGTGAATGACACCAAAAAGCCAGCAAATCCAATAGCTACCCATGTGAATGATGATGATGATAGTGGTGGTGGTGGTGATGAATTGGATGGCTTTTTGTTTTTGTGTTTTGATTGATTAGTTGTTGGCTTTTATTATTATATATACCGAGATGGCTCCCTAGAAAGGTGAAGCTTCAAGGGAGAGAAATAAATAAAAGTAAATGAACGAGTTTCTTGAATTGCAAGTCAAGCAGTGGTCCCGCTTCGTCTTTTTTTAATGTTCAGAAAGTTGCGGAAATGCCAATTCACACGCAGGTAAATCGTCAGTAGGCATAAAATGTGTGAACGTTAAATATGAAAGTTGTCAGGAGCACACCATTTTGAATGATGAAAAGGGAAAACTGCGCGCATACTGCATGTGTTATTTAGTTTGAGGATATAGTCTCACGTTACATTCATAAATAGGTGGAGCCCATTTTTTATTTATTTTTTCGCTCTCCTTTCTCCTTTAATTTGTGAGTTACATGATAAAAATATTTCTCTCTTGATTATAATATTCTTCTATGTTATAACAATGTTTTCGTGTGATGTAGTTTTGCCAAAAGAATATATATATATATATATATGGGAAAAAAATATCTAATGTTACTTTAGATAACTAAACTGAACTCATTTCGGATGTTACTTGCCAAACATTTGGTTAACAGAATCATTAGCGTGCAAGTTACATATCATTCAATTAGAAAAAATGAAAAAGAAAAAGACATTACTAATGAAGACAAAAGCAAACCACAATTAATTAATGCTAATTAGCTATAGATATTTTTCTAATCTCCACTAATATATTTCTGAACCTTTACATATATATTTAATGCATCAAGAAGACAAGAGGCAGACTAATATATTTATAGCTAGACGTGTCTAGTAACGTCCGCAATTTAAAAATTCGAATGTTTAAATATTATCGATGGATGAGAACAATGATTGTCAATTTCTAAAATTTTATTTTCAATATCAAAATATATGGAATAACTATTCCTCTTAGTATTTTTAACCAAAAAATGTTTCTCATATAGGAAATTCCGAGAGTGATTGATGCTGAAGCACAACAAATTAAGGGTGTTTACGGTCTAGATTGGATCGATTTTGGAAGCAAAAATTATCCGATCCAATCTCTTCGGTTTGACCATGTAATCATCCGTTCGGTTTGGACTTATTTTCAAATCCGATCCAATCCAATTTTTTTCGATTTGGATTGGATCGGTTTTCAGTTTTTTGAAAATCTTAAAATTTGTTTTATGCATATAACATCTTATATATATATATATATATATATATATATATATATATATATATATATATATATATATATATATATATATATATTGGCTTTGTAAAAAAACTGTTTGGTTTGACCATGTAATCATCCGTTCGGTTTGGACTTTTTTTCAAATCCGATCCAATCCAATTTTTTCGGTTTGGATTGAATCGGTTTTCAGTTTTTTTAAAATCCTAAAAAAAATTTATGCATATAACATCTTTTATATATATATTGGCTTTGTAAAAAAAATTGAAATACAAAAGGATCAGTAAACGATAATATAGTTTTTTTTTTTGGACAATGAGATATGAAACTCTACGCAGATGAAATTTTGTTGATGAGATGTGACTAGGTTTTTTCTTGGGTTTAGTTGATAGGTTAATGGGTCTTGTGTTTAGAAATTTTTGGATTATGATTGGAGAAAGACCAAAATAAGTAGAGGAAAATTAATATATTGGATCGGTTTGGATTAGATCGATTTTCATTAAGCAATCTGAAAACCGATCCAATCCAATTAAACGTTGCAGTTTTTTTTCGGTTTTCGATTTTTCGATTTTTGGTTTGTTCGGTTATCGGTTTTTCGATTCGGTCACCGCGGTTTGAATCGGTTGATGAACACCTCTACAACAAATCAATGTTCTGGACATTTATTTACAAAGATTCTTTTAGCTAATTCAAGATTGGAATTGGTTGGTCAAGTATGGAGAGAATGGTCAAGCAGTAGGGGAAAAAGAGAGGATAAACTACCCTTGAGAGAGCATTCTTCATAAAAGCTAACTAATAAAACAAAAGAAGGGTTACTGAACGAGAAAATAAATTATGCTTAAGGGTTTTGTTTGGTCCGGCAAGGAAGCTCATGATGGGGAGAGACCATCATCCATAGGCTAAGCGAACAATGATATTAAGTGGGTTTAGATACGTGGGTCACCGCAAGTCAATTTGGCCTTGATACCACAGATACCAGTTATTGGGCCAACAGGAGGAGCTCATATATGGTAGGGGAAGACCATCATCCATAGGCTAGTAAGCAATGACATTAAGTGGGTTTAAACACCACAATCAAATCCAAAATCTTAAGGCATTAAGTGTATGAGTTCTTCCACTTATATGGTGCTCATTCAGTCTATTTTTAACCAATGTGTGTGATTTCACCCACTCAAATTGAGAATTCAAGTGTGAGTGATAAAAAGTACCATATTGGAAAAAAATCGGCTAAGCATAACAAATATAATTGAAAGGACCTATAAACTCAATGTCTTAAGCTTTTGAGTTAAGATGTAGTGTTAACCCCCTTGTTGTGAGTTTGTCTCTTAGACCCATTTGATGCATCGATCATACTCTCCCCTAATTGGGCTCCCCCGGCCACTGCCCAATAGTGGTATCAGAATCAATGGTTGATTGACCTGGATACTCCGAGTCTTTGAAGATTGTAATTGGTGTTGAGTTAACAATTATAGGCTCACACTTTAGAGGTAGATTGTTGGGAATTCAAGTTTAGAGATAAAAAGTGTCCCACATTGAAAAGGAATGATCTAAGCATAACACATATATATTAGTAAAAGAACTCATAAATTCAATGCCTAATGATTTTAGGTTGAGATGTGATGTCAAACCATTTTGTGATGAGTTTGTCGCTTAGATCTATTTAATATATAAATGACAATCTTTCCTAATTGGGCTCCCAAGACCACTGCCCAATAGGTTCAGGATATACTTAACACAAAAGCATAGCTAAAAGTAGATATTGATAAATCAAAGTCAGCAAAATGCCAACATATTGCTCAGATCTAACATAGCCTACCATAATATCGATGCCCTATTTTATCTCTTTTACTAAACTTTCACAAGCTCTGGTCTCAATCATTCATGATGTACCGTCTAAAACTGAAAAACACACTATCCTATTAAACTATTACAAATTCAAGAATCTGTAAATGATAAAAGATAGAGAAACAGGGATGAACCTTGAAACTCAAAGAAGAGAACAAAACTGTTATTATTCATCTGATACCTCAAGCTCCTTTACATTCTCACATTTATACTATTCTACCTAAAGCTATAACAATCGTCTAATAGATATGCAACTTCCTAATAAACTTAAACATCCTAACAACTAACTTTAATATCCCAACAACTCCTTCACTTCAAGCTGAGCTGTAACTACCTCCTTCACGTAACATTTCCTTCCCCTCCAAAGGGACCTTGTCCTCAAGGTCCAAGAAAAGTGAAAATTTGTGATCATCCATACCCGCAAGGTGGAGAAATAATATCAATGGGCAATATTCTAGAAGGGACAGAAGCATGATGACTATTTAACATCAAAGTTTGACCCAAACGAATGGAAGGTGCACACTATAATAACCTTCTCAAGGGGCAATGGTAGTTAATAGCAGCCATTTTCACTGTTGAAACAGAAGCAGGGGAGCAAAACCTAACAAAAAATGGGAAGTGCATAGCTCCAAGAAAAAATTAAAGATACAAGGGACGCAGACCTGTTGTATCTTGATCGATGAAAATGGACTGCAACAGCGGACGCGGACCAACTAAAGCTGTCCTCGCATGGCTTAATAGAGCAAACAAAGTTTCCATGGATATACTATATTTTCTTGTCGTGCTCTTTTTCTGGAATGAAAGCTAAACGAAAGAATTGTAGATGTGGTGTTCAACAATGAAATCTTGTGATGACACAAGTGAAGCAAACCCGTTATACCAAATCACTTATGGATGTGCACCTGTGACACTTGGTCTTGAGAGGGCTGGATAGATGGTTGATAAACCAAACCAATAATTTGCTTCGTGTGTGACATCTTGAAGGACTTCGTTCTTGAATTTTGGTGACTTACCAACAATCTCCTAGGCTGAAATCTAGTGGCTGAATCTTGAAGAGAAAAACCACTGGATGAGTCTTGAACATCTTGAACCTTTTTGGGTCGGTTGTATTGAGAAAACATTTGCACTGCTATGGCTGTTGTTGCACAAGAATTTCCAGGTTGTAGAAGTGGTTTTAAGGGCATCACATTGAAGGAAATTTGCATAGCATGTAAGGTGTCTAAGGCCCGCTACACTTTCGTGAGGACCAAGGAGAAGAGTTCCTTTCTATTCATGCTATCAAGGGGACTCGAAAATGAGGATTGCAATAGCGAACGCGAATCAACTGTGGTTGTTCTTCCATGGTTGTATGAGATGAGTTCCTTCTTCGCTTCCATATTACAGAAAAAAAACGAAAAAGCTCACGGTGATGAAAAGCACTAATGTTACATATTCAAGAATCTATAAATGATAAAAGATAGAGAAACATGGATGAACCTTGAAACTCAAAGAAGAGAACAAAACTGTTATTATTCATCTGATACCTCAAGCTCCTTTACATTCTCACATTTATACTATTCTACCTAAAGCTATACACAATCGTCTAACAGAATACACAACTTTCTAATAAAATCAAACATTCTAACAACTCACTCTAATATCTCAACAACCCCTTCACTTCAGGCTGAGCTATAACTACCTCCTTCACGTAACATATACTCACCCTTTGTACAAATATTTGGTCTTTTAACATGAAAAACAAGAAATAAAAATGTTGCTTTTGTAATTAGAATGACAACTTTACAACTAGAAACATGGCTTAATCTTCAAAAATATATGTTTCTTACACATAAAATTCCTCTTACAAATTTCAAAACTTTCATTATACTTTTTTTTTCTTTCTCTTTTTCTTTTTCCTTTTCCTTTTCCTTTTCCCTTTCTCTCAATCGATCTTTATTTTTTTCTCCATTAATCTATCACTTATTCTCGTTATTTTTAAAGCATGTTTCGTGGACTAAAGCACCATTTTAAGTCTTTTGGCCAAAAGAATTACCTAGTTAAAGTTGATTAGATAATTTTTTTCAAACTAATGCAGTCAAACACGTCACTGATATTGACGGGACTAGTCCCGTCAATGATACGGACTGGACTCGTGCCATATCAGCGCCACGTAGGCAGTCCCGTTATCGTAAAATTTTGGAAGACTATAACTTTTGACTCAGGTATCCAAATTCGATGATTTTTTTTATTTGACATAACTTTTCAAGATCTACGCAATGACATCTCATTTGACATATTTTATCTTCCATAAACATAGTTTGAATTTGCATCAATAATTCCACAATTACAAGATCATTTAAATCTAGAAGATCCCGAGTTTTTCCCTAACCAACACCATAAGGTGCAACACGTGCCATCTTCTGGATTTAAACGCTCTTGTGATTATGGTATCATTATTATAAATTTGAACTATGTTTGTGAGAGATAAAATATGTAAATGAGGTGTCATTGCATAGATATCAAAAAGTTATGTAAAATAAAAAAAATCATCTGATTTGGATACCTAAGTCAAAAGTTATGACCTTCATAAGTTTTACAGTAACAGGACTGCTCAAGTGGCGCTGACATGGTACGAGTCCCGTTAGTATTAGTGACGTGTTTGACTACATTAGTTTGAAAAAATTTATCCAATCAACTTTAACTGGACAATTCTTTTACCTAAGGGGGCGTTTGGTAGAGAAATTTTTTTTTTGTCCGGGAATCTCGATTTTCAGAAATATGAATTTTACATTCAGTTTACGATAATATCCAAAAATTAAAAATTTAGAAAAATTCAGTTTCCCAAGAATCCTGAAGAATACCACGTACCAAACGGTCCCATCATTCATGTGTTGAACATCTTTCATGGTTTCTATATAAGCTATTTGATTGCGTACACTAAAATCACGGACCCTCTTCCTTCTTAACAAATTTTCGAGCAGGTCGTGCTTCTGGAGTTGTATCAAACAAGAAACTATTCACTAAATTAAACGTAATGAACATCTTTCAATATATATAGCAACTGGGATCGGCTAAGAATATCAACATGTTTAGTTAAAAATTTCCAGTAATTAAGCTAAAGCGGTACGCAAATTAATTCCAACAAGACATGTAACATAGGGAAATGGTGGCTTTTTGACCCTTTTGCCCCTCATTAAATAATTAATAACCAATTTGCCCCTCCCCCAGAACTATCCATCATCCTGCCCCTATTTAGTCGATTAAGTTGCACTTTTAATCGACTAAATGGGCAAAACTCAGAAATCATGAAACGCGAATTTTAGTCGACTAAATACTCACCTTAATCGACTACATTCGTTGCACTTTTAGTCGACTAAGTCCATTATTTAGTCGACTAAATGTCGCAGATCAGGTTTTTAAAAAAAAAAAACCATTTCGCAAAGGGGGTTATTTTCAAACCCTAATCGACTAAATCGCTCCATTCCGTCCCCTCTCTCCAACCAAGTCCGAATCTCAACCCTTGAAGGTGCGATTGAAGCATCCTTGGTTCACACTTGCGAAATCGACATTTAGGTAACGTTTTCTGACTTGCATTTGGTTTTAGGTTTAGGTTTTTTTTTTGTTTTCTCCATGCATTTGATTTATGTTTGCGGTTTTATGGATTTAGGTTAGGGGTAGGGTGTTAAGTTTGTTGTGAGGGTGAGGGTTAGGGTTGATGTGGTACCTTAGGGTAGGGTTAGGGTTAGGGTTTATGTTGCTGTTTTGTTTGGGTTGTAGTGTTAGGGTTGATGTTTTTATGTTAGGGGCTAGGAATGGTTTTTGTGATGTGCTAGGGTTAGGGTTAGGGTTAGGGTTAGGGTTAGGGTTTCTGTTTTAGGGTTAGGGTTAGGGTTTGGGGTGCTGTTTTTGATTGGGTTTGGGGTTTACGTTTCCTGTTTTTATGGTATGGTATAGGTATAGGGTTTGTTTTCTGTTTTATTTTAGGATTAGGTTTTGTTTTTTATATTGAATTTTAAATTTTTTGATATTGTTATTATTCATTGATATTGTTTCCACTTGCATTGTAGGTACAGTTGTTCCCATGGCTGGCCGTAGAAGATCGTCTAGCACTGGAAATGAGAGACGACAGAAGCTACGACAAGACCGTCCATCTTCGTCAAGGCCACAAGAGGAAGAGCCTGCTCCTGTCGACCTACCATTCGGATACTTGTTCGAGAATGACCCCGTGGTTCATGAATCATTTGTCCGTGACTTTGTTAACTGACCCATATGTGGGGCCAAATCACTTGATACAACCTTTTTTTGAACAAGAAGGTTTTAACATTGTGAGGTGGTTGGAGGAATCACATCTTAGGACCTTGGCTGAACTGTCGTGTTCATATTCTGAGCTGCATGTACGGGCCTTCTACCATAACCTCAGCTACGTACAGGGTGAGCTGAGGTCTAGGGTCTGCGGGGTGGAGATCATCATGACGGCTCCGGTATGGTTGGAGTTACTGGGGTATGACTTTGATTCTGCGCAGACTGTGGAATATGACGCAGACAGCGGGACCATACTTCCAGGATATACACGAGGTGATGCCGTGCAGGAGCAGAGAAGAGTCTGTGGGCAACACATTGCCTATACGGTGGGGTTGCTTACTGTGGAGTCCTGTATACTACACTATGTCATCACCCACATTCTGTTTCCGCGAGCGTTCAATCATTCCAGGGTGTTAGAGCATGACATTCCCATCATGTGGGCTATCCGACATGGTACTTCGGTGAACTGGAGGCACTACATCTGTTGGATGATGTATAAGGCCAAACACAAGGGTGCACTTCCATTTGCTTGTCTTGTTCAGAGGATATTGGAGCATTTTAATGTTCCCATGGATAATGTGACCTTGAAGAAGACCACAGGGTATAATCATAAGTTTGGAAAACGTCTACTGGAGCAGTGCAAGATGACAAAGAACCCCCAAACAGGAGTGTGGCAGTTCACAGGTGCGGCTGATGTTGAGGTTCCTGATGTTGCTCCACTTGTAGACATGGTTGAGCCCGAGGTGGAGGATGATGATGACGATGATGATGAGGGTGACTAGCAGGAGATAGCTGAGCCTGACGGTGGGTTTTCATTGCGTGATGTCATGAAGGGCATAAACGCCACGCTGAAGAAAATAGGAAAAATGGCGCTGAAACACAAAAAATGGAGGAAGAGTCACGTGCAGAAAGGGAATGAAAGATTTAGACATATACAGGGACGGTTCAAGGGTGTTGAAGATAGGCTTGCTCGTCTAGAGCTTGGACGAGGAAAACAGTAGGTTGAGGATGTTGCAGGACAGGGGACTGATGTGTCTGACGAGGAGACGGCATCCGAGGAGGGGGACGATTAGATTTAGGGTTTATGTTTTTTACTTTATGTTTGTAGTGTGTGTTGTTATGTAATTGACTTCGG